ATGGCTATTTTAATCAACATATTTTCGCACAGTGTATGTACAGATGGAAATTGCCATGACAATTTTGGATCATTGCAAAAAAATAATATCTTTTAATTAGACAAAGCATTTTTCTGCTTTTAAAGTTGTTGGCGATTTTTTTTGCAGCACAGCAAAAAACTGTGTTTTTTTGTCAAAACAAAAAGAAAAAACCCGTGCTTCGTTACTGGACTTTTTATCCCTTTTCATTTCTCACAGAAAAGGCTTCTAGGGCCGATGTCGAGGGCATTCGGGCTTTGGACATTTTCTATCGAACAAAAATCGTTTGTTCCTGGAGGAGCTTTATACTGAACCTTTCGTTCGGTTTGGGAGGTTCCAGACCGAACGCCAAGGAGATATCAATGTACTATTCATAATGTACATGCTTCTTGTGCTTGCACACAACAGATACTTGGATGGAAAAAATTGCACATGATATTGTTTTACGTATTTATCTTGGGCGACCCTATATCTTGCATTCAGCAAGAGCTGGGGACCCTCGTTGAAGGGGAGGACAACTTGGGCCGGCCCAGTCATGCGAGAGGCCAGAGCCTCATTTTTTCAATGTTTTCTGTATTCGTTTTTGCTTTTAAAAAAATTGTTTATGCGATAAATATTCTATATGTATATATAGCAAAAATATATCCTACCAACCGGGGTAGTTACCCTCACATCCCATATACTATCACGTGGTAGTATATATACTACTTTATCATTCTGAGTATATTCATATACTTCATCTAAGATATTTCAAACCAAATTATATGAAAAAATGTATGTAAGTCCATAGTTTTTTGTATATTTTGAAAATACCTCCATATCGGTATGTACAAAACAATATACTAAAAAATATCACATGCTTCCTAAAGAGTAAGATATATACCACTAAAATATTCTTATATACAACATACTACACGTACATACTCTCAGTTTTGACGGATACCATATATAATATACAAAACTCACATGAGGGTAACTACCTCTAAGAGGTAATAGGAAACATTTGTTCTCTCTCTCTCTCTCTCTCTCTCTCTCTCTCTCTCTCTCTCTATCTATCTATCTATCTATCTCTCTCTCTCTCTCTCTCTCTCTCTCTCTCTCTCTCTCTCGTACAAAAAAAACTATACAATTTTTTTTGAAAATGTTGACCCAGCATTTAAAAAATGTTAAATGTGTATAGAGAAAATATTTATCATGTACACAAAAATGTATACAATAAATATACAATGTGAAATGTTTATAGAAAAATGTTGATCATGTATTTAAAAAAGATAATCCAAGAATTTTAAAAACAATGTTGAATAGGTTTTCAAAAAATGTTAGACTTGTATTTAGAAAATGTTAAACGTGTATATAAAAAATGTTCACCATGTATTAAAAAATGTTAAACTTCTATTCGAAATTTTTTTAATATGTGCACAAAAAATGTTGACCATGTATTACAAAATGTTAAATCTTATTTCAAAAATGCTAATTAAGCATTAAAAAAAAGTTAAACATGTATAGAAAAAGTGTGGAGAAAGAAAAAAACAAAGAAGAATAGAGAAAAAAGCAGTGAAAACTGAGAAAAACTGAAGTTCCCGGTGTCAAAACAAAAACAAGTAAATCAGTGAAGAAAACCGGCTATTTTAGGTCAAGTAGGTCGCGCCATATTTATTTAACACAAACTTGGCCATGGCGTACTGGCTAGCAGTTCTACGAAGGAACCACTTAGTGCGGGGCTTGAATCTTGTCCTCACTCCCTTTGCCCTCTCCCTTTTTTAAAAGGTTTGCTAATGGGACGACCCAGTATCTAGCGTGAAGAGCAATTAGCTTCAGAGAGAGGAGCTTCCATCTCGCGAAAGGCGATATATAGCTCCCGCGCAGTATCTTGGGACAGGATGAGCCTCCCAAGCCATTGTTACCCCCGGTTGGCCCAAAGGTCCACTAAATAGGGTTTTTTTGTTGAGAAAATGCCATGGACAAAACTCAAAAAATTAAAAAAATGCTACAAAAGTAGCCATGTTCCTAGTCACCACCCAAAAATCTTGTGTAAAAACAGTGTCAGCAAAACAAATGTCACCTCTAAATATAAAAAAAGTCATCCTTTTAAAATAATAAAAGTGTCATCCTCACAATAATTAAAATGCCCATACTATTGCAAAAATTAAAAAAAAAAAGTCATGCTCTTATGAAATAAAATTACCATCCCTTAATAATAAAAATGCTAAAATTGGCATCATATTCTAATAGAATTCCATCCTAATAAAAATGCCATTCTCACATTAGTAAAAATGCCATCCTATTAGAAAATAAAAAGGGCATACTCCTATAATAAAATTGCCATCCTCTAATAACAAAATTGACATCCTCTTATAATAAACATGCAACCTCGTATAATAAAATGGCATCCTTCTATAATAAAAAAAAGTGACAACCTCTTATAATAAAACTGACATGTGGGAATGTAAAAAAAGTAGGACTTTTGGATGAACTAAAAACAAAAAAAGCTTATATAAAAATTTGTTTTAACACGAATGTTCATGAACCCCCTCTCCACCCCATTGGCGAAAAGCCCCGTGCTCTCGCAAGAGGTCATTAGTTCAAAACCTCCCCCATCGTTCGGGTTTGAAACACACATGGACTCTCTTTCCATGGATCTTGCTAATATACGGCCCTTTTTTTCAAACATGCACATGGACTTTCCGTGAGTCCTGCCAATATGATTTAACATTAGTCATCATGTCGTTGCATATATGACTATACGTACATATTTTATATGTGTTAATTTTTAAATCTCGACCTTTATCCAATCTATGGTTTGAATTTTAGCATGTGTGTAAGAATATGGTGTCTTGGTTGTCTCCTATTTTAATAATATAGTAAGAAAATATATAATTTTTATGTCTGCTTCTCTTTTTTTTGCAGACGTAGAGGTTTGTCCACTAAATCATACTAGTACTAGATAAGAACATGCCCTGTTTGTAGAGATGGTAGTAGCAGAATATGTTTGCTTTCCTTTTTTCAGTTTTAGATATTCGTCGGTACTGCAACTAAATCTTTGTTTTTTTTTTTGTATTGTGTATTCTCCATTATAAGACATAAATCAATTTCAGAGGATAGCTCCATAAGGTATGCCTTACGAGTACCTTTTTTTAGAAAAGGAGGATGACCCCCGGCCTCTGCATCTGCCTTACTAGTACTTGTGTAGCGATGTTAATTTAAGCAATGTACTAGCATATTGTGTGATGTCACTATTTGCAAAACTAGAGTAGCCCTTCTCTAGCTGCTTATCGAGTCTGGTTTTGAATGGTCATGTTCACAATGTCCCTACTTTACTAATGTCACTTCGTTATTAGGGCTCCCTTAGCTACACCTTCCTTTTGCAAGGTGTGTTGTGTGGTTATGTTTTCTGTGATTGTGTCGCTACATGAATATGTTTGGGAGAATGGAGGCAACGGTTGTATTATTATCTCAACGAGAAAGACAAAATGAAGTTGTTAGCCAGTGCACTTTTTCCAACCAGTGATGACACAATGTTTGATATATTTCACTGATGGTTTCTGTTGTCTCTTTCTGCAGCATGCTCTTCGTCCTCCTTTTCCTTTGCATGTTTTACATTTGTTATTTTCATATGTGTCTCTATGTTACTAAGATAACTAACATTACAACAGTTAAGTTAAGAAGTACATGTTCTTTGTCTGGCTGTGTACTTCATTGCCTGTGTTGCTTCACACATTCACTGCCTGCACTAACAGAACAGATTGGTAACAGCCAACGAAAATACCTCCAACTCCAAGGCAACTAAAGCCCAATCCAAGACAGGCAAAGATGAAATGAGCAGCCCACTAACAAAAAAAGGACTTATCAAACAAGTGAAAATGGTGCAACGAAGTGCGCGTTACCCTCTAGTACAAACATATTCATGTGACAGATGTTGGAAATATGAGCAATTTATCATATGGTTTAATTAACAGAAACAGAAGATAAAACATGACCACAATAACAGAGACAAGACAAGTCATACTATCTAAAAGAGAGTAGGCGAATAGCATCTGAAGTTGTGAACTTCAATAGAGCATATCTAGAACAGATGCTAGAACAAGAAACTCAGCATGATCTCAAACAAAAAAGATATGAACACACACTAAGCAGTGGTGGTTGCATTGGCGTTGGCGTTGGCGTTGTCGCCCATGTCGTCGAAGAGGTTGTCGGTGTCAGGGAAGAAGTCGTCGTTGGGGAAGTGATCGTTGGCGTCCATTCCACCCATTATGAAGAGTTCAGTAGGCATGCAGAGCGCTCCCCACAAATGCTCATCACCATTCTACCGTACAGGACTCAAAGAGGTGAGGTTTCAGATGCCTACTATGCCAACTTGTGGTGCACACCGCAAAGCTGGGATGGGGAAGATTGTAGCAGTAGCTTAATGCTCAGGAACTCGGTGGTGTGATGCAAGTGTTGTCTGGTGTGTTTCTCTGGAGAGGAGTGGCCTCTCTTTTATAGGCACAGGAGGAGGCGAACTGGCAGTGACAGGAGATAAAACGAAGAGACAGGAGGCGAACCAAACATGCAGCATCCGAAGGGGCAGTGTCCGTATTCAATCTCCACTACAGCAAAAACTTTTCAGCGCATCACTAAAATTTAGACAACGACTCGTTTCCGCGGCATGCGGGCGTCATGCCGAGGCGAGGCAGGTGGCGGAGAACGAGCGCGCGCATATGTCTCTCCTCTTCTCATGCTCATACATGTGTGGGGAAACAATCTCCCTTATAAGGAGGCCCAACTCCTATTAAGCTAGCAGTATGGGAATGAGGTACGATTTATTAGGAATTCTGAGAATGGCTATTGAGCTGGCCCAAAACAGACCAAATTCCAGCAACAGATCCAACCATTTCATTCATGACCAATTGAGATGGTGATGCAAGATTTAAAATTCCAAGAAGCTAGCGTGTAACAGATCTTGGTTGCAGCAACATTTCTTCAAGTCTCGAAAGGAAATTCTCCTAGCAAGCGTGGAGCAACGGAATGTCCGCATACGGGCCGTTGAGCACCCCATTGGCGATGACACTGTATGCCTTCTCGGTCATGTGAACCTGGTCCCAGTTGGCGAACCTGGACGGGTCACGGCAAACCTTCGCGTTCTGGTCGCACCCATGGCCGGTGTCGTAGGGGCCATTGCCACCACAACACGCCACCAGGGGGTCGTCGATGCCATGCATCTTGGGGTTCCTGACAAACTCCATGGCGGCGCCATAGTAGTCGGTGTAGATGACCTTCACGCCAGGGTTGCGAGACCTAAGTCGGCCAACCTCCTGCCTCAACAGTTGGTTGTGCTTCTGAGAGAACTTGTTATACCACCTGAGGCAGCCGAATTGGTCATAGTCAGCGGACTTGTTTGTCTTGTGCCCACTCAGGTAAACCGGGACGCACCCGATGGGGAAGTTTCCAGGAACAAGGATCGTCTTGGCACCAAGGTTGATCACCTCCTGGACCCCGGAGCCTATGCGGGCGATCACGTCGGGCATGAACTTATAGGGCGTGTCACGACTGCACTGGCGATCGTAGAACCATAAGTTATAGTCGTTGCCACCGATCTCTCCAAAGACGATGAGGGACTCGCTGAGGAGACGTTTGGTGGCAGCTGATCACACACAAAAAAACGAATTAGCTGACTAATGCAGGAAGAAATGTGTGATATATTTCGTTGCATGAGTACTTACCTTTTCCAGGAGCTATCCGTGCGAGCACTGTCTTGAAGGAACCGAGCTGCGAGTCGAGGCAACCGTGGTCCGCACTTAAGTTATACCTTTTCCGGTAGTAGTCTGGGCTCAGCGCAAACGAGCCCCACACGGCGAAGTTGGCACCGGCAGGGAACTGCCCTGTCTTCTCCTCGGGCTCGCTCGGCGGCAGCAGGGGCAGGCCAAACGCTTGCGCTGATACACACACACACCAAATTTAGAAATCAAGCACGAGAGTACACCTGCGTGCGGACATGCACTCACCGTAGAAGTCGACAATTAGACGCCCGTCGGAGCAGCGGCCAGTGGGGTGGTGGAAGTAGGTCCCTCCATAAGGGGGCATCCACATCGAACCTGTCCGGAAGTTGCCGGTGTCAATGATGGAGTCACCAAAGGCGAAGATGCGCTTGAAGCAGCCGCACGACCCGACATCAGCATTGAGCAACAGGACTGCAAAGACCAAGAGGACGTCCATGGAATTGGTAATCCCCATTTTAGTACTCCCCGTTTTTACACTAGCTCTTGTATAGCAAGCTGGTTAAGAGTAGAAGTGTTCAAGATCGACTTTTTGTTTTGTATTCCAGATGAGTTCCTTTGAATCCCTTTTATAGCACATTATGTGGTGGAGAGTCTATCAAGATGTATCGATATTATTAATATATTTTTAGCGGCATGTACCTTACTAGTCGGCAATACTTCCTTGCAATTTAATGGTTTGTGCACTGTGAAGATATCACAATTAAAATGTCAATCCATTACAAATGCAGTCTTTTGGCAATTAACTTTGTGTTTATATTACTACTCACACAACACAATATCTCCCTGCAATTAAATTTGTCGGCATTGTGAAGATATAAGAAAACAATCCATATCTTCTATATAAATGCAGTATTTGTGAAAGATAGGATTGGTCTTTTATGCCATTAATTCATGCACCCATTTTCTATGTGCGCGAATGAAATATGTGGTCAGCATTCAAAACGTGTTTAAGGTTTTTATTACGTTGACATTAAGATTGATTGAAGAAATATTTTAATATGTGCCACATTTAGTGAGTATATTGATGAAAGATTGTAATACTCAAAGATTGTAATACTCGCCACATTTAGCGAGACACAATATACTGATTTCACGTGCGAAATATTAAATTATTTCCTCAGTATTTCATCGATTAATGCTCATGTCATACATCATCTAAAAGCTTATAAGGACATCGAGCGCTGTAATGCTCGTGCGTGAAATAGCATCCCCCTATACATTTTACATGCTGACCACATATCATGCATGCTCATATATAGAGTGCATGAATTAATGACATGGAAGATCAAATCTTATCTCCTAGAAAGACTGCATTAGAATATAATAGAACGATACACCATACTTGACGATCGAGAAATTGGTGTCCTCTGATGAGATTCAATGGTTTTCTAGAGGTATGTGGTAGGTCGTCATTTTAGAAGGCCAACAACGTGGTGAACATGCAAAAATGCACTGAAGTAACATTTATATATTTCTCGTAATTTTTCAGAAATGTTGCTAAGACCCTTTATTCGCATAATTTTCAGTGAAATCCTCACTTCATGTCATGCTAATAAGTTGGCCCAAACTAAAACTATTTGTAAATTTGTAACAAAAGTAAAATTACTGCAAAAATGTATAGAAATAACTTATTGATATAATGGTAGGAACCTATCTCTTGTAATCAGTATCATGATTTTTAACATGTAAATTTAAGAAAAACAATAATGTGTAAACTTCAGCAGATTCGATTCAACCCTTTAATCTCTCTGATTTACGTACCTTGACATCTCCATAATTCGTGTGGAATCTTCAAGATCGACCATATAGAGTATACTTAATAGTGTTTTCTCTCCCCTATACCTCTTCACTTCAATTGTTCCCCCAATGGGCGAAGAACTTACCGTCACTACATATGTTATGTGTGTGCACCTGAGTCCTCTCGTCCCAATGTGAACGTTCTCCTATACCGCAAAACAATTATGTGAGCGTCTATGTGACTGCAGCCGTGCATCCGGGAGTGAGCACCAAATGACTGAATTGTTGAACCTTTATAGGCCTCGGGGTGTCGCTTTGTGCATACGTGTCCCTCGGTGAATACAAACGTTAACATGAACAGATGCATTGCTTCAACAGCCACGTCGTCTCTTGAATCAATGGGCAAGAAATTATGACCATATATATTTTCTTTGGCACATACACCATAATTAATTTGAATATTAAGGGTGAGAAAAAAGACAGAAATTAACCCTAGATTGTAATCAAGTATTTCTAGAACATCTCAACTTTTAATTAACTTTAATTTACATTACCATATCCAATATTTGAAAATATGTTACAGTAAAATGTTTTGAATTGTAGTTTATACATGATGCTTGAGAGGATGTAGTAAAGGCAAAGCATTTTAGGACACACCACATTTTTCTTTGATCCAATCCACTAGTACAAAATGGCCCTTCACTTGTCAGAAATCTCAAGTGGGTCAACAAGAAACACCGCTAGAGATGGGCCTCTTTGGAAACTCTGCATGAGCAATCAACAGTTGGACGAAATCACTATTCTGACCCTATTAACAAACTTTGTCACAAAGTGAACTCAACATGAAAGTATTTCACGATCTGGCCCTTTTAGCAACGCCAGAGCCCGTGGCGTTTCTTCCCAAGTATAAACGCCGAGCTAGCTAGCGTTCCTGCCCAAAGGAGAAACGCCGAGGTTTCTCGTGTTGCGGACCAGGTAAGCAACGCCAAGGGCTTTGGCGTTTCTGCACTGGCACCCAGTCCATTCGCTGCCCCGTCGCCAAAGTAAAAAACTGCTCCTAAACCCAGAGCCTAAACGCCAAGCCCTATGGCGTTTCTGGCCAGGGCAGCAACGCCCACTTGCTTGGCGTTTCTATGTGGATTGGAAATGCTAGCTACTCCAGCGTTTGAATGTGGATTTGAAACGCTAGCTAGCTCAGCGTTTCTATATAGAGAAGAAATGTCACGGGCTGTGGCGTTGCTAAAAGAGTCAGATCATGAAATACTTTCATGTCGAGTTCATTTTGTGGTAAAGATTGCTGAAAATGTCAGAATAGTGAGTTCGGCCTCAACAGTTAAGCTTAACAAGCTATTTGGTTTGTGAAAGTGTCGGCCTGCCATTTGTGGACTCGTCAAATAATTGGTGCCGGATTTTACCACCCACGACTTGCCAAAAAGATAGCTAGTAAATGTACCGGGGCTGCCAGAGTTGTGGGCGCACTGATTATTTGGTCTTCATTCAAATGAGCAGCCAAGGATGGGTCACGGCCAATTTTTTGGCAGGGCGTCTCCGGAAAATGATACAAACAAGCCCAAAAACATACCCCTTCATTGTAAAGGTAAAATCGTCTATTTTATGTAGGATCAGTCCTGAGATTTCGGGGACCCGGGGCGAAACTAAAACTTAGGGCCCTTAATACAAACACCATAACAACAACCATCATTTTATATAGGCTGCGGTTCTTTGAAACATATGCCAAATGCACCTAAATTGGAAAAAAAACTATAAAAAAACTAAAGGGGTACCAAAAAATTGAAACTTTTTTGTAACTAACATGGCCTAGCGTAATACTCATGTGAAAAGGTTCTGGCAGGAACGACTCTCATGGTATTCTCGGCAAAAAAAATTGCAAGCCCACATTCATTCATGAAAGTTTTCATGTGAGTATTATGAGAAGTCATCTTTGTTAAAAGAAAGTTTCATCTTTTTAACTCTTTATTACATTACTTTTAAAATAATAAATTCAATTCGGGTGCAATGGGACCTGAGATGCATTTGTTATTTCTGTTATATATGGGACTGTTACCAATTAACACTTGGATGCATCTAAAAGTAATATTTATATCACATAACATGTACATATTACCTTAATATTCCTAATGCAAAGCAACATATGATGCAAAGTTAACCTAAAATTAACTAGTGGAATGTGCCGTGCATCCAATGCATTAAGAGTGTTCTCAGGGTCACTTACATTCACATTTTCTCCCTGTATTCCACTAGCCGGCCCATCCATAGCTACTGTCGCAAACTCTATATTCGTCCAAGCATCAGTGGTATTCTCCAAAATAATATCAATGACTCCTTTTCATGATTTTATCAACTCATCCACAAATCCTTTTTGATAGTTCTGAAATCCAAATAAATGCACAAGAGCGACAAACCAATTATAATGAAATATCTTAATATAAATTAACCTATATAGATAACGAATTAGTGATTAATGGTATTACCGTGTACGTACAGAGGTTCCAGCCGGCAAGACAAGAAGTGGTTAACTGCTGATCAGTTGATGCCCTGGTTCTGGTTGGATCCAAGAAGGAGGCCCCTAGAGTCCTAGGCGGAGCATTAGAGAAGCGATCAGATCACAGTATCACACAAAGAGCCGCGAAGCCGGAGCAATCTCTCGCGGTTGGCCGTCACTCTCCGACCTCTGCACCGTAGCCGCTGCCGGTTGCCGCTTTCGTCGCGTACAGGTAGATCATAGTCGCGTAGTTGTATCGATAGGCCACGAGCGAAGGAAAATCTTTGGAAACGAGCGAAAGAAGATGAGAGGACGACCGTAGATTGCTCCCAGGCTCCCGGAACGTGTGCCCTTCGACTATGCGATTCCCCATAGGCTGAAAATCGTACGTCGCAGCAACCAAAAATTAGGCCATGGGCTACGTACCAGCCATGTGCATACTACTAGGCATGGGGACCCGGGGCGGCCACCCCTCCTGCCCCCCCTCAGGACCGGCCCTGATTTTATGCTGACTTTGCTTGCCGGTTAACCAATTCCTTGACATCCAGATCCATTTTCTCATGTTAGATCACAACATACACATTAGTCACATTTGTGTTCCTTCCTCCCTTTGTCTCTCCTCCAAGGAAAGGCGTCTAGGGTTTCCTGCCTCCCGGCGGCGGCGCCGCCGATCCCCCACGTCTCCAGTGACCTTAGGGCCATGGGTGCGCACTAGTAGAAAACAGGGCTTTGGTCCAGGTCAGGTCAGCCCATTAGTCCCGGTTCAGTCTAGAACCGGGACCAATGTGGGCATTGGTCCCGGTTCGTGAGCCCAGGGGGCCGGCCGGGCCACGTGGGCCATTGGTCCCGGTTCATCTGGACCTTTTGGTCCCGGTTGGTGGGATGAGCCGGGACCAATGGGCCTCGCTCCTGGCCCACCACCATTGGTCCCGGTTGGTGGCTTGAACCGGGACCAAAGGCTCCCCTTTAGTCCCAGCTCATGTCACCAATCGGGACCAATGAGGTGCCTATATATACCCCCTCGCGCAAGAGCAGAGCACAGTGCTCTGTTTTTTTTGGCCGAGGGGGAGAGGGCTTTGTGGTGCTCTAGCTCACCTCCTATGCACATGAGGTGTTCGATGGAATGCCCGAGCCACGCTACTTAAGCTTTCTCCTCTCGAAGCTCGACCTCCAAGCTCCATTTTCCTCGAGATTTGTCTAGATTTAGTCGTCCG